ATGTTTTTTATGCATGTAAAAACCCAAACATACTTGCTCGTATTGCAAGTTTTTAAAGTTCATAAGTCATTTGAAATTCATGCTTACTGCTAGTTAAGTTTGAAAAAAGGGAGATGAAAGACATTGCAACAGAAACTCAGTGAGAGGGTAGCGGATACGATGACATAACAGCAGATCTGAGTAAGCTCTGCCATTTCAGAAACACTCAACAATGAGTCAGGAAAAAATATCTGGCACGTTACTTGTCTACTATTTGTCGGTATCTTTCCATGTGATGTGAACTGTCTATTATTAGAAATGACAACATGCAGTTAGGGAATCCCCTTTTACCAGTTCAAATACCCTACTCTCCACTGCCAGTAGAAATGGGAGTGCAAACATCAAACATAAACAAACAAACGTTATATATAGAACTACAAACACTTAAAGTTTGTTATCCTTCGCTTTCAGAAGACCAAACACATGAACAGAGGAAACATGAGATGAGATGAGTCTACCGGTTAACTAAAGAAACCTGCCTGGTCAAAACAATGGTTACCATGGTGACATAATGGCTGTGTGTCAACGCAGCTTTGAAAAGGATAGGGCCGGTCGCCCTGGCTACCTGAAACATGGCCGACAAGACGACATGTGTGCAGAAAGCCAAGGAGAGGCGATACCAGCAGACAGAAATGGACACGGCAAAATGGAGGTGGAGCTTGCATTAATCGTTCAGATCCTGTGATTTTCAAGCAGCACTAATCACATAATTTTAGAGCTTCTGATTTTATTTCTCGTGGTACGACATGAAAATTGTATTTCAGGATGAGTGTGATTCAAAATCATATCCGAGAAATCATCAAAATATGCATAAAACTCTTCAAATAGCAGTAAAACATACTTGAATAACTTCGGTTTACATTTAGTTAGGATAATAATAGTTGCATTGCTTCACAGATAGGACAAATCTCTTTAGGGAACATACTTTTTCAGTGACAGACAATCTTAAATAAGGTAATCCAGCTAATGGAAATTCTCCAAACATATTTTGTGTTTTTATCACAGTCCCATCATCCCATGACAACAATTTGTCTCCAAATGCAAATGTTGATACCTCAAATCAGGTTGATAGGTTCTCCCTTTTCCCCCTAAATTTAGATTTGGTATTAGGATCATTTCTATGTATGGGTAACATGAGTTCAGAGATGGTAATGACGATTCAAACAATATATCTTTTGGCATTGTGGATCAGTGCATCCCATATAAACATGAACTGGGTGAAACTTAGATTAGAAGCATTTATTAGAATCTGAAGCTGATCACGAGACATTGACCACTAATCCATGACGTCACAAGTAGAGCATCTCAGGAAAGCTATACAAAGTCACATGAGTAAAAAACAACCTCTTTGTGTTAAAGGGTAAGTGGATGTCCTGCTTTCGTCCAGTTAGCTGCACTATTGGCCTTTTTGACACTCAGCACCTCGTGAGTATCATTTTAATATCTAAAGAGCCTCAATCTTGGCACTTGCTTGACAGTTCCACTTTGTACTGCGGCTTGAAACGGCTCACAGGGGAGAAAAAAATTGAAGACCATCAACCTTCAAATGCATAGCTAGCTGACGTAATCTGGGCAAACCCTGTGCATTAAATAACTCATGAGTCATAGAGAACAAAGACTGACATGGGAGAGAGTAAAGTCTGCATTTATATGTTACCTAGGAAATCAGTATGTTGGTTACTTTAGCAATAGTGCAGAGTCATAACTTTTTTATATGTCCTAATAATTGCATTAGAGAAATGTGGCAGTCAACAACAGCCAGGCAGGGTTAATGGAGCTTGGACATTGAGGCACTTTGTTTATTTAACATAAATCCTGTTTCTGACCAGGTTCCTCTATGCAAAGTGGTTGTCACTGTGACATTTTACAGCCAGGGTAGGCCTTCTCTATGGATCACTTCTCCATGAGTTTCCTTACTTCGGAGTCACTCACACACCCCCGCTTTATCTTATTAATGTATGTTTGCTGATATGAAAAGCTATTCTTCTATTTTTATTCTTCTAACACCCTTAATGTCTGATCATGTGGCTACCAGTAAACTGAAGGCCTTGACCTAATGTGGCCCGATTGTGACTGACGTCTGACAGAGGAGCCGGTTGTGAATGTCTCCCTGGTGCTGTGTGGATACATACTATAACCAAGATCACAATGGAAATGAGTCCTGTGTTATCCTTGATGGTCAATTAACAAAACTAAAATCGTAAACCTTGTGTCGTAAGTTTCAGCATGTGTTTTATACATTTCATTTCAAGAACTTTATATTGACTATGTTCTTATATTACATAATTGCACACTATGCTAACAATATCTTGTTTATATTAAATTAATTGTACTGTCAGTCCTGCACAACTACTTCACATCTTTTATTTTATTATTCTCAGTATTTTGACTTAATATACTGTATATAGTTTTTTGGTATATCTATATTTCATGTAAATATGTATCTGTATTTAAATGTTATACTCGTTTTTTTTTTTTTAAATAATTGTTATAATTGTTTTTTATCGTTTTTCTTACAGTTTATCTGGTCTTTAACTGTGGTTATGTATGTCCATATACACACCAAGGCCAATGCCTACTTGGCAATAAACCTGTTTCTGATTCTGTTGCTCTTAGTGTCTTTCATTTTTGTAAAGCTTCTTGAATTGCCTTGTGTTGAAATGTTCTATATAAATACACTTTCCTTGCTATTGAAGTTTCTGTGAGTTCTTTGTTTCACAATGAGTTTAAATAAAGTTGAACTTTGAAGCTAATTATAATGCTAAAGTAAACCAGGTACACTTTACTTGGAGTCACCTCAAGACCGAGCTTAACTAGCTCGGCTAACATGGCTTATTATTATTTCAAAAGTAACTGACAGTTCAGTTTAAGACGTAAAAAAACTGTCTCGGTGAGCCTCCTAAGGAAACTTGGCATGAATATCACATGAGTCAGTCATTATGGTGAGAAATGCTTCCTAGCATTTAGCTTGACTAAGTTTAGCTCCCAGCTTAGCAACTAAATGCTAACACATCTGGGTGCGGCAATGACTTGGCTTTCTCACCGCGACAGGTGAGCCGGTTGCTATGGGTGAATATAATAATGGTATCTATGTCAGTTTTGATATAAACCATGTCTTTACCTTAGCAGGATCTCCAGGGAGCTCTCATGTTTGTCCAGCGGCCTTCCCAGGGCGCTCTTGCGGAGCTTGTTCAACTCCTCCACGGAGCGCAGATACTCCGCCTGCTCTTCGCCAGCTGGATATGTGGCTGTGACAAACTTCGACAGAGGTTTCACCAGCTCCACCTCAGAGGACTTTTTTAACGGGACTGAAATAAAAGTCGCCATTTCGCCCCCGTGAAAGCGCTGTATTAAATCAGAAAAACAGAGACGACTAGCGACCAACGAACACAAACAACAGCGAACGACCCACTTCCTGGTTTCTGACAGGGAACGTCAGATTACGTCATGGGAAACGGAGAGGTGCCCCGCGCAGAATCAGTATAGCTTTAATGAGAAATGGACTACAATGAAGGAAAATTAACTGTATCTCCTCACAGACACAATCTTTTTATTCCCACGGAATTGTCCCGATTCACCAATTAAGGGGTCCATGTGTAGAAAAAGATTGTAGGGCCCTATAAACTCCCTGTTCCTTTCAATGTTCAGAATCATATTCAGAATGCCTTCATTAGTCCCACAGAGGGGACATTTACATTGTTACAGCAAAGTAAAGAGGCAAAATAGCAAAATAAGAGGCATGCATAAAATATTAGAGATAGAAATGACACAAATTACAATTTACAAAAGTACCCATCCAGGTGGACAACAATAAGTACAGTAACAGCAGCCTGTCACTGAAGGAGCTGCACAGTGTTTGTGTAATTTGTACAGCATACCATGCCAGAATATGACATGACCCCTGGTTTGCAGCGAAGATATCTGACTGAACACACATCATTTAGCAATATATAGGCACTACCATACAGTATAGGCAGATGTAACGTGAACCTTGGGCCTGGAGTCTCGGGCAGTTGCCTACTTTGCCAAGTTAGGGACCAAGCAATATGCACCATATAAGCACAGCATTTGTTCAATGAATATTAAACCAGATGTACAATTAAAAAGGCTATTAACTGGATGAGCTGTGAAACAGTATACTGTATACACTCAATGGTAAGCCCTTTGAGAAATTCAGGTAACACTAACTACTTTACAGATCATTTTCAATTTTTCTGTCATGTCTGATAATTGATTTCTTTCACAGCGGTTTACACTTTTCACCCCAGATGTGATTTACCCTCTGGGACAAATGCTGAAGTGAAAATGTGCATGATTCAGGGTCTTTAATATCTGTTTTGGGAGACATTTGGCAGGTTATTATGGTGCTCTCAATCTGTTCGACACACTATGCGAATCATTTTGCTGGCATATAATTGTCCTGCAACAAAAGAAAACTGTCAGCAATACCAAAACAGCCATTGTTAAGACCAAATATGAGTTTCCTAAATAGCCAACAAATGCCTTTATGGCTCATTAAGAACAAAGATATAGGTCCTTTAGAATCACAAAGGCCATAAAGTGTACTTGGATTATATTTTAAGATGTTCTTGTCAAATGAGCACTCACATTTCCCAGGGTGCTACTTGGCCTGTGAAGACAGTAGTATAATGTCCCTCGTGGCTTTTAAGGAGCTCTCCAAATCTGAGAAAGTATGAACAGGGTTTTTTGCACTTGTCGTGGGATGTAGCCAAGTCCATTTACTCATGTACTGTACTTTAGTACAACAGTAAGGTAATTGTACTTTTACATAATGCTACTTGATGCTTTTACTCCACTACATTTTGTAGGCACAATTTATTTTTACTTCACTACATTTATTTGACAGATTTAATTACTAACCCTACCATCTTGAATCAAAAACAACTATGCTAAAGTTTAAAATATTCAAACCGAGGAATAGAATACACTAGGACACCAGAGAAAGTTATGAAATCATTTATTCCCAGCACATGTGGTTGTGTACATCTCCAGCATACGATACTGTGCACATGAGAAGCATCATCATTGACATTAGGCTGTACATGAACAGTGGTCACCTCTCCTGCTCACTCTCACACACACTCAGTCACACACACAGACAGACAGACGACTGGTCAGGACTTAAGGGGACCAAAACTGCTCACCAGAGTCTTTCCTGACTTGGTATCACATCTGCTCTGTTTCTGAACACAGTTTACTGTGCTGTGGTACTTGTGTCCTTGTAAACACCACAAGAGCTACAGTCCTGGCTCTGGCGCACGGTTAGACAAAAACACAGATGCTTGACATTCTTCTTTTTTTTGTTCTCCTTCTTATAGGCAGGTAAGAAACGGGTGTGGCTGTTGGACTACTGACTACACATCGAGCTTGAGTTTATTAATTTCTCAGTGCAGACTTGGTCTCTAACATATGGAAAAACAAGGAGGTGTTCCACTCAACAAGGACCGAATTATCCCTCCCACCCTCCTTTCCCCGTCTTCAACATGCTCTTTTACTAAACAGCAAGCTAAACACAGTTTCATCATACCAACTGGAAAAAGTTTATGACAACTACCGACATAATTCAGTTATCTTTGCAAGAACGAAAAAAATGATACACATGCAGACACGCACATTCTGACACTAAGAGGCGTGCAAACGGTATGAACTTCCAACACGGCCGGCGACTGTACCAAAATTAAAAAGGGGTCAACTAAACCAACGGCGACTAGGAGGACCTGTGTGAAATGTAATGTCACGAAGGGCACGCGTGACTTGTACTTTCTGTGTGCAGCTACATTTGAAAACACTTTTTTAGGATTTGTAAAGGACGTGTAGCTGCCATGATTTTCTAGTCTACAAGATAAGACCAAAAAACCAGGCTGCGGCGGCTGTGATACATTTCTACCAGCCTGCTGTGGTGGGTTGTTTCTCGCTAAGCAGACCCTCAAATGGAGGGTTTATTACTATGAATACAAAAGAGCCTCTGATGACCAGGATGTACAGAGCCAATGAGGCTTTTCAAAATAACTACATGACTACAAATCTGAAACCCGTTTGGTCCACATTATAGAAGTTGTTGGATTGGTGTTAATGCTCCACATGTCAATCTTCTATAAAAAAAAAAAAAGTGTGTTACTTTTTTTCAGCATATTATGGCCAAAATCCCAAAAGGCGTTACCCGCACTCCTCCTAACCAGTGTTTTTAAAGTCAGCACAGAAAGCAGACGAGACGAGGTGCACCTGCACTGTGTTTGTGAAAGTGAGCAAAAGGTAGAGCTAAAAAAAAAGCCAATATGGCACCGGATCCATAAATAAAGCATCAACTAAAAACAGTAAAAGCGCAGGCCGAGCTGGACGTACATGAAGAGAGTCGAGCTGAGTGTGACGTCAACACAGAGATATGGCTGGAGGTCTAAAATCACAAAAGGATTACTCTATGTGACAAGAGTTTATCCATATGACAAAGTCCAAGAAACATGACAAAAAAATAAGTTGTGTCAACGTCCACAGGTGACGCCAATATTTCAGGGGTTCCCAAGCTCAGCTGATCAATAAATTGTTTATTAAGACAACCCCGTGGAGAATGTTAAACAAGCAGATTTTGGGATTCTCATTAAAGCAGGTTAGTACATTGAGATTGCATGCTGTTCAGCAGTACAGGTTATCAAATACTGGCCTAGTGCTGGTTGTGCGCGTTGTGCAAGAGGGGCAACGAGCAATAAGGAAACTCTGCTTTCTTTCCTTCTCCCGCCAGCCAGAACGTCTCTCCCCTCTCTGCTGAAGCCCCCCCTCCCTTTAGCCCGCAGAAACCATATAAAAAGACAAAAAATAAAATAATAAAATCAAAATACATACATCATTATCACCCCCCTCACCCTGTATCCCCCCCAGTCTCTCGTCTTAACTAATCTCCTCAGTTAATAGTGTTTTCAATATGAAACAGTGGACACACCCATGTCAGATTCTAACATTTACATGGCTTTAAGCGCAGTCTGCTTCCCAACGAGCGATTGTTTGGAGAGACCGGGAGGAAGTACGAGGAAAGAGTAGAGGCAGGCAGAGAGGGACAGAGGGAGACTTCTGCTCCAAAACAGAGGGTGGAGTATTAGTGATGCCATCTGTCCTCTCCACTACTTCAGGATTAGATGGAGTCCTTCGCCCAATTCATCTGGAGAGGAAAGAATAAGTGCATTAAATCCTTTTCAAATAAGCAATCTATTAGGGCTTGTTACATACAGGCCCAATTATAATGAAGAGACAAGGTGAATGATGCATTATGAGCTCACCTTTGACAGTGCTGATCAAAAAACAGCTTTCGTCAGGCAAGTTGTAAACCATCTGGAAAAGACAAAAAAAATAATTAGTAAAATGTGGTTGATCATCAAATGTCCCCACCACGGTATAAATGAATACATAGTGTTTACTTGTGTGAGTGGTGACTGACAGAGTTAGGAGAGGCTGTCATAAAAGAAGGAGCGATAAAGTAGACTGACAGTGTGTGTGTGTGTGTGTGTGTGTGTGTGTGTGTGTGTGTGTGTGTGTGTGTGTGTGGATGTAAATGACATGCAAATATCTTATCTCTGTCTCTGTACAGAACCTCCCATCGTAGTCCTGCCATTTACTCTTGCTAATCTTTTACTTTGCCCCTTCTCATTTGTAAATCTATTTGCCTTCATTGGATTTCAGCATGTTGAGGGCCAACCATGGTTTGTATTGCAAGTTTGCAAGTTTAAGAAAACATTCACAGGAAGTGTAGTGCAGTTAAATTATATCATATCATTATATTTGCATCATTTTTGCAGTTTGGCATAGATAGCAGCTGCACGAAATGCATCTCAAAAGCTGAGCTAGCAGGGTGTCGATAAGTATCCATCCATGTTTTGAGTGTATCCCAGAGTTTAGATTTTTTATTAAAACATCCCTCTTGATAAAGAGCTCTGTACAGCTGAGAGTGGTACTCTACGTTTTATAAAGTGTTATTGGAGAGGAACAGTGTGAGTGTGAGTGTGAGTGTGTGTGTGTGTGTGTACCTGGTCACTGAGCAGGATGTGTATGCCTGTAGGACCCTGTCTGTACACCTGGTTGATGGTTCCCAGTGGAAGGCTGCACACACACGCCATCTTGCGGATCAGTTCTGCAGCAGTGAGCTCCTCTAGATACAGAGCATGATAAACTGTACAGAAACAGAGCAGATAAAGACAACATGTTAATAATATTCACACACTGCAACACTCCATAGACTAATACTATCAGCTGCAATGACTAGTTTGATAAACAATAGTTCAAGTAAAATGTTTTAAAAAATGTGGAGATTTCCTGCTTTTCTGTGTTTGGACTGACGATACATCATTTTAGGCTTGGATGAACATTTTGTACTATTTTCTGAGATCTTTTAGACCAAACAATTCCTCAAGAAAATCACAAGCAGATTGTAAATATTGAAAAGGATCTATGCCCTACTTATAGGAGTGGTACTGCAGTCAAACACAGGGCTTGTTTACCGTGTAAACTAGAGGAAATGCTGTGATCTCCATTTTCATTGGTTGCATGTCTCTCCAGCAGGGGGCTCTCCTGGAGGGACTCCTGACAGACGTACACTGTCAACCTGGGACGCACTGACCTACACACACACACACACATCATAATTTATGCAATGAAACACAGTGACAACTTCATAATGGTCATAGAAGTGTACACAAGAACAACAACCGACACACACTTAATTACACACCTGGATTTAAGTGCATTGAAGAGTCTGATCCCATCTGCTGGCCCACAAATCTGGACCAGGTCGTCCCGGGTTAGCTTCAACAAATCAGAACCTGAGCAACAAGTAAGAGGAGCGGTCACTTCCCTGCAGCTGATACAACATCACACACATGTTTTGGTGTTTTTTGACAGAGTGTGTGTACCTGAGAAGTGTGAGAAGAGCCGTGTGTAGGAGTTGAAGCGATTTTTCAGCAGCCACTTCTGTGCGTCCTGTATGGAGGCGGTGGGGCTCAACTGCTGCAGGACAACACACACACAGTGTCAACACACTTTAACACCAGGACCTGAAGTTATACTGAACACACTCATTCAGACCCACTAAGAAATAATACAGTACTGTACAGTTTATAATGTTTGACTTTTTTAGGGATACTACATTCTACAGTGAATGTATTTTTATTTACCTTTTCCACCAATTCAAACAGTTGAGTAGGGTGGAGAATAACCTCCGAGTTGCCATGGCTACCAGGGTCTGCCTGGTGATTGGGTGAGGACGATTCACTAGAACACAAGAAACTACAATTAATGGCACCAACCCACTACACTGCTTAAGTCTTCAGATTGCTGTACTGATCACACTAGCTTACTGACTTGAGAGAGAGAGAGAGAGAGAGAGAGAGAGAGAGAGCAAGAGAGAGATAGAGAGAGAGAGAGAGAGAGAGAGAGAGTGAATGGTGTGAATCCAAACCCCAGTTCTAAACTCCTGCAATATTTGTTTTTCCCTTTATGAATTACTAATACAGACTACTGTGGCCTGCTGTTATTCCTAATCATTTCCTCTCACACAGGTGCAGATATTAAATGACTGTTTGCTCTAGGGTGTGGTCTTTGTTCAAGTGCGACTTTTTGGCCAAGACACAGGCAACATGAGGCTATGCGTCAGCCTGCTCCATCGAAACGAGTTAATTGATGTTGGTTTGGTGTGTCAGGGCCTTTATAACGAGGTATCTTGGAGTCTTGTGGTTTGACAAGAAAAATAGTGGGATTCAAAATAATGCATCATTGGCGATTTCTTACTTTATCAGATCCTTTTCTTTTTTAAATCATAACAAGTAAGCGCCAATTTGCCAATCTGGAGCTTTTGACAGCAAATGAAATATCTGGGCTAAACTGTGTGGTGTGAACTCATTAAAAGGCTACGCACAAACATACACTTACCTGTCTGGTACTGAGGACGTTGTGTAGGTGGACAGTGGGGTGGAGGTGAAGGAGGGAGTAGCTGCCTGGTTGGGGCTGACGTAGGCATTGTCTGGCCACGGGGAGCACTGAGAGGAGACAGATGTATTTAAATACACAATTAATCTCACTTACTGGGTTAATTAACACTGCAAGCCAACTCTAAATATCCCAAAAGAAAAGGCATAAAGGTTGAGGAAAAGTCAAGGGTGGATAGGGAATTTAGCTTTGCACCATCTCCACCCCGCCTACTAATGTCAAATACATGGCATTAAAACATCTCCTTCCCTGCAGCTGGTCTACACGCTCCAGACTACAGCCATGTGTCTACAGGGGGGCCGACTGATGGAGTGATGGGGAGGAGGAGAGGGGAGCAGGGTGCTTACACTGCCTCTCTTGGCCAAGGAGTCGCCACAGTCAGCGGGAAGTGTCCGCTTGCTGGACTTTTTCAGCTCGTGGTCACCCGCATCCTCTATGATGGGCTCAAGCCTCGTCTACGTACAGACACACAGCAGAGGTTAGCCAGCCGGCGACCAACACACAAACACAACCAATAACCTGAGGGAAGTCTTAGTGTGACAAACAAGTGTAGAAAAAGTTAAATTACTGCTTTCTACCCCCCAATAAAAGCTGTGATAACACATCTGAGACACAGAAAACCTTATGTTTAAAGTAAAAATCTAGTGTTTTGATGTGGGGCTGAATGAGGCAATTATACATGGACAGGAGTATGGGCACAGGAGCAATGTACAATAATGGAGCAGTAACCAAATATATTTTAACCACTTTCAAATAATCAGTTCTAGGGTATACTTGCTGTCAGACAGAGACATGTCTTTCCTTTGCTCTTTCTTAAGCCACCAGACTTCATTGAGAAAAACTGTGATTTTACTTTACAGAACACCGAGGTTGCTGGTTGACCGCTGTCCTTCGCTTACTTCTGATTCACCAAAGTCACACACACTAAGAAACCGGTTGAGGCAGCGGTGTGTTCTGCAAATTAAGTGAGTCTGGTGGCTTTGAAAAGAGGAAACGTAACAGCTTTCTCGTCTGAAAATGATGTTTCGTGGCAAGGCAGTTAAAATATTCTGAATAGAACATACACTTCAAATGTAATACTTTTAAGGTGGCGAAAGTATGTTTAACTGCTGTCCCCGTTCAGTACATTTCTCAGCTTCCATTTCCATACTCCCGTCTGCTTCTCTAAACTGGGCTCTCACCTTCATCTATAAGTACCTCATACAACCCAATCAAAAGGAACCTTGTTTTGTATATTTTAAGCCATTTCTACAAACTATGCAGAGTTTTTCTTTATTCTGAGTGTGTCACCTCATCTGACAAAAGACCAACTTTTAACATGATATGAAGGAGTGTGTGTTTAAACTGTCTTCTACAAACTAAATTAGATCATGAGACGAGATGCGTCAGGATCCAGGTGGCTGAACACCTCAGCTAAACACTAAACAGTACTTGGGGAAACCCTGTTGTGCATTTTAACATAACTGCCAAAACCACTTTCTAAAGCATACCAGATGCAGTGCTGTCGTCCAAGCGACCATTAACAGATTTATCCTCAAGTATTCAAATACGTGAGGAGACTTGGAACCTCCTGAGAGAGGTAATCCATCACACCTGTCACTTTGACTGTTCTGTCAAGATATATCATCATCACATTGTGGTGCATTGCAGGTCAAGAGCAGGTTGCTGTGGTGGTTTATTAATGTTTATCACGAGCAGAATTTTAATTCAGGAGATACAAGGGGTACATTTAAGCTGGATCTTATGAATTTAGTAGTAGTTTTTTGCATAAAATAACTGCTGTTTGGTTTTTTCATAAGTCTCAAGCATCCAGAACATGATTGAGAAAATGGTTGGCAGTGATCTAGAGCACCCTTTACCTCGAATTTAGCCACACAGTAGGCCACTCTGCAGAAACACATTTCTACATGGATAACCCCCCCAAATAAAAGCTGAAACTGGGCACTTGCTAGTACTTCATTTGCACTAAAGCCAGATATTTGTTTTAGGCCTGACTGTCCATAGCACTAACCTCTGACAGGATAGTGGTATCATAAGAAGACTGGTACTTCTCCTTCTCATGGGGTGAGCGTTTCTCCATCTTCTCCCTGTCCGTCTTTTGCTTACGGTCCGCCCCCTTTGGCTAAAGAGGAAGCAGAAAAGATCAGAAAAAGGGAGCGATATTTGATTTGCTGTAAGTTCCCAGGTGATGTACAAATGTCCCCCACACATAAGATAATGAGTGTGTACCTTAAAGACTTTGATTTGGCAGGAGGCAGAGTGGAGGTGCTCTATGTACTCTCCCCCCTCTCCCTGGGCGAACGTGTCAAACTGGATCCTGAAGGGGACGCCTTTCTCTCCCCCGTGCTTCCTGGGAGTGAACTCTGTGCTGATGCAGTGCACCTGCAGCACAAACATGTGATTCATGTGGAAATTTAGAGGCAACAGATGGCACAAAAGACAGCTGAAAGTGTGAGTGTTTGTGTGGTTTGTATGAGACACGACGCGAGTGTGTGTTACCTGCACAAAAACAGAAGCTCTCTTGTTCAAGTCCCACAGGAACTCTGCTGCGTTGAGCTGCGAGGGGTGAGTCTTCGGCTCCACAATGCCCACTGACATGGGGATATCTGTCTCACACACACAGACACACAGATATTTGACCTCCGAATCACACACACACAGATTGGACGGTTTGAGTAAACATTTCACGCCAGGCTTCATTACCGATGTCAAGGAGACGGTCGCCAGGACGATTCCACTTCCAGCCCTCCAGTTGCTGGTGCTCGGTGTACTGCAGCCGGCGGTCATGAAACACCACCCGCACTATGCTCTGCACACACACACACACAGCATGTTAGATATGAAGAGAATCTAACGTGAGAATTAAATATTTGTCCCCCTCCAGCTGCAATGACCCTCTCACCTTCACCATCTTGTTGTTGATCTCAGGTAACTCGTCCTGCTTCCTGTTGTCCAACATACGCACCTCGTAAGACTGGCCTGAGAGAGAGAGAGGAGGGGAACAGATCATCAGAAGAAATAAAATAACACATGATGGGTAGGGTCAGAAACATTGGATCTTCTTCAACTATTTAATGTCCTTATTGTCTCTGTAAAGTGTTATGCTCATTTTATGTTGCGTTGCTCATTATTTGTTATGACAATTACTGATTATAAAATATTTTAATGTCTAAACGAAAGCAGCCTTTATTGTAGCGCTTGAGACTATTGCAAATTCAATTTGCCCTCACATCTTGACCAGCTTAACTGTTATTATTCTTGTTTTATTATTGAAGTAAGTGACAGTAAAATGCAAAAAAAACGTGTTGTTTCAATGTGTTTTGAAAATAGAAGAGCGGTGGAGTTGATGCCTTATCACTGCTTGCATCTGTTTTAGTATCCTTTAAATTGTAGAGCAGCAGGTGTTCATTGCACCATCTGACATATCTGGTGTTCATATAGGCTGGGTACTTGACTATGCATGACACAAAAATAAATACTACCAATAACTCGAAGTTTGCACTAAAAAGGTAAGAACAAATATATATACCCATGTTGTTAAGCTTTCATTGTTGAAATACCATCAAGGTTTTGAAGGGAAAACATGTCATCAGAAGTATTTTATATTTTCACACCATCTCAATGCTAAATGCTGGAACCACAGAATTACTCCCCTCTCCCTTAGATCTTGACTACACGATAAATTGTCAAAGTGGGCACTTAGCCCACAACATGCTTATTGATTATTTCCCAGTGAAGCACATCATGACCTAAGGCCATGGATGACCAGACCATCTTTAAACAGCCTATTCTGCAGTTAATACATTTGTTTGCATCAGCAAACAATAGACCTAGAGTTGCAATTTAGCTACCCTAGCAATTCGGTGTCATTCCATATATGGAAAATCAATTTTTATATGAATTAGGAAAAATCCATGAAAGCTGGGCACAATAATTGATAGCTTTTGTCTTGCAGTAAAGCAGAGAAAAACTCTTTAGGGAACTTTGGGATGTTAACCTTTGCAGAACATTTACATGCACAAAAACTATATAACACACTGCAGGAAGGAAAGCCAAAATGGGGTGATTTATAAAGGCTTGACTAGTTGTATTGTGTTTGTGTGTCTCACCTTGGTTCAGGTATGTGAGCGTCTCGTCGTGCAGCTTGATGGCAGGCGAGGTGGCGGCGCACAGCACATACTGGAATGGGGGGTTTTTGGTCTCACTTTCAGGAGGAAGGCTGGAGTCCTCCTGCTTGAAGATGGGCAGAGCCAGCACATCGCTGAGAAAGAGAAAAAAAACAAGAGAAACAAACAGGAAGTCAGCACAGATCCGATTCGCGAGAAAACCATTAAGAAAGAAAGCAGCTTTAAAGTTTGCATGAGCTGTTTTATTTGGCCTTCAGAAGTTGTTAATTGGCTTCAAACATTAATTTAAAGTTCTACGCTGTTTTAAACTTCAATGGCATCTTGATGAAAACACACACAATAACTGTGACCAACAAAGCAAAGCATGCCTTTATTCCTCAGGTTTCCCCACTTTTGAAATTATCTCTAAAACACATAAGCTAAGTTTCTAAACTGTTGCATGCTCCACTTTTGGCAAGACAATACTTCCTCATAGTGTGGAATTATTAACTGGTTTGGCTTATTTTAGAAGGGGTGACGAAGGCTCTCCATCGATCAAATGGCTCTTATTATATATGCATGAGACCGCGGGAGCATGATAAATGAACAAAAACACCCAGAGATAGACTGAGCCGCTGACACACACTATCTCTCACACTTTGCAGCCACTCCAGACAACCAACCCGTCCTCGACTCACCCTGACAAATGCTGCAACCGTGTCAACCGGTGCACAGTGAACTGTCTGCGGGCGTGCACTGGTCCTATCCAAGCTAAGAGATTCAGACCATGGCATCTCATTACCTTGAAAACCTTTTTGGCAAGTCACTGTGCCGCCCTAGACCGAGGCACAACAACATGACATTCCTGCAGCACCTTCCTCCCAAAAACAACACCTTAAAAAAACAGCCACCTGCTAGATTATGAAGTCTCAAATCACTTCTCTCTAGGGCTGCACGATTTTAAAACAATTAACTATTTTTTTGCACCAATATTGCATGTTAAGATTAAGGAGGGAATTATCTTTACTGCATGATCAATCTGATCATCATTGTAAAAAAAAGATCATGGTGTGAGTTTTTGTGAAGTCCGTCGAACATTATTTGTAGTCAGGGATATCGCTGCAGCTCCATGATACTTAAAGGTGGGGTAGGTAATTTTGGAGAAATCCGCTCGAGTGCGCTAGAATTTGAAAATACACAACCGGAAAAAATCTGCCACTTCCTTACAGAGCCCCTCCTCCAACACATACGAACGTGCACATGACCAATGAGGGCACGAGATAAGTTAGTGCACAGATTGAAGGCTGACAGGCAGGTAGGCCATCCAGTTATTTTAGCCGGGCTGGCTCAGATGATTGGTCGTGCTTTTTACAGTACTACGGCTTCCACAGATGAATTTTTTTTTATGGATTTGTTGTCAAAGCACTTAAGATATTCATTGCTATCGGGATGTTAAGAGCATTCCATGGAATATAACAAAAAGTGTATCTCGAGCCGGTTTCTCAAACTTACCTACCCCACCTTTAATTCAAATTATATTATGTTGTAATACATATGTAGCCATTAACAATTAACGTGCATCCTTCAATTTGCATATTACACTAGTCTATTTGGCAATTTGGATCGAAGTTCTTATATCTCTTAATCTCTTGCAGCTATCTGTGTTTTCTCTGCAGTGGGTGCCCTGTCAGAGCCACCCTGGGTGCCACGGCCCTGCTACCCAGGAAAACTACAACTACTTCCTGAAATGTGAGGAGCTGGTCCCCCTAAAACACATCGAGACATTCTGTTCCTACCAGCTGCTGACTCCAAACATGCAACCCAGCCCAATACCACAGATAGCACTACTGCTGGACCTGCTGACACCACACACACGCTATGTTTTCACTAACTCGCTTACATGCAACACATCACCAGAGTATTGGTAAACCTGCTTACACTCATAAGAGACTGACCCTCACTTACGTCACTTGGATACATGCAGGCTAAAAACGCAGATGGCCGAGGAAGCAGCTGATAAGAAACACGAGGGTCCTGGGAGTTTCTTTCTGTAGTCACATAAGTGTCATCACCTCCTGTAAACTATATAATTCAGTACAAATGTAGAGATACTAATCAAATGTGTGACACAAGTTATAAAGAGGAACTTAAGAGGGCTGCATGTATTTAATTTGGGCATAGTGACAAATACTGTGTGGCTACTAGAGCTGGGAATAAAGTTAAAAATGTTCATTAGACTTTGTACCAATAAAATATTTTCACCGTCAATGGTAATACCATAACAACCTTTTTCCAGTAAGATAGTTACGGTTTTAAATTGAAATTTGAGCATCTAAAAATCAACTGACAGAGTTTGTTTCTGAGGAAGATTGTGGGAACAAATTAAAAGCTTTAAATCAGCAAAAAACGTAACCATGAATCTTTTGATGAGTTTGTTTTGTTCAATGTTAAAGAATCTAGTCAAGCATTCAAAACCAACTCTTGCGCCAAAGTGTCAAAGTTGGTAGTTAATGCTTGGGCAGATTGTCTTTGATCAGACATTTCCACATATAAAATCAGGAAGCTGTTGTTATTATAGACGTATCCTAAAGAAAAAAAATCGTATTTAACCTATTGCATTATGCAGTTTGGCATATTGTGTTAGCAGTTAGAAAAGCCAACAGAACTTAAACCCAACTGAAATGTGACAACCATAGATCACCTAGTGCGGCTTAAACTATTACTGTAGAAGGAAATAAATCAAGAAAAATACCTCCTATCATTTCCAAAAATTGAGTCAGGTGCTTCTTAAGATATATGAGAAAGGAATAAGTGCTGAAGCTCCTGCCACTTATACCTCCAAGTCAAATAACTCCTGTAGAGCTTTCCTTAACAACAATATTTAAATGACTCCCATCTCCTTGTGCATAATTCACAACCCTTTGTTTCGACGTCACTAGAAACAAAGCTATAGACATTTTCTGATAACTATACCACTAGTGTGAGGGGCCACAACAAGCCCTTCCTGCAGCCTTCCTCTGTGTTATCTTACACGCAGTTTATGTCTCTTTTGACAATAGCATTAACGTATATAATGTCCCTCAAAGTATACCACATGTCCTTCCTTTGCTTTGCTTAGGTTTAGAGAAATTAATCTTTGGCCCTGATCCTAGCACCCTGCAATGACTGCCCTACTCTAAATCCCAAAACAAAGAGAAGCCACAGTACAAAGGGGAGAACACACACTGGTATGGGGGTGTAAATGTTAACACTTCAGAAAGGCAGGTTGTATTTTGTCGACCCAATACTATGTTAGGTAGCCGGGGAAAGGCATGTTGTCTTCGGTGTCTAACCTCATGCTGTAGGCTCCAGCCCCCAGCTCCTGCCCGATGCCGGACAGGCTGGCATCGAAGTCGTGCACCAGCCCCGACTCGATGGATGCGTCGTCCATCTTCAGCACCCAGGCCATCGGCCCCAGCTCCTTGTCCTCGGCTTCTACTCGGAGGGACGCCAGCTTGCTTCAGGTACGAGAGGTCGGCTAGCGAAGAAGCTGGCTGTGCAGCTGCAGGGACACCGTGAGAGGAAAGTTATGCTGCTAGCCCGTTAGCCGCTCCTTGGCAGGCTGGGCAGGCGGTAGCTTTCCACAGAGACTGGGTGTATCGCCATATCTCCACTCGGGTTATTTTTTTCCTCTTTTGTCACAAAACACGGTGCTCCACGACCGTCTGAAAGTAACAATAAGTTAGAGTTCACTCAGCTAGCGAATGTTAGTCGTGACTGAAGATGCGAGCTGGTTGTCAGCATGCTAACGTTAGCTAACAGCTAGCGAGCTCTACAATGGTAACTAAAGCAAGCTAGCATGAATCCAGCAGCCCCGCTGTTACGCTAAAGTCTTAAAGCAGGCTAATTATGGTTTGCCCAACACAATGCAACAGGCAGAGGATAATTGTGTGTTTAGTCCACACGCCGCATCCCACGCAGCGTCCGCACAGCTGTTGCTACCTAGCTACCAGGCTAACTAGCATCAACTTCACTTGCTTTGAATCGACCGTTGATGTCCGGTGATCCTAGGAAGAGCAGCTCTCCTCTGGCGCTCCCTGTACCATCCCAACCCGCTCTCCTCTTCTCATCGCGGTGCAGGAACAACCGCTAAGGCTCCCGCTTCTTGAGACGCAGTCCTTTAACCATCCAAAGTGCAGCGATTGACACAAAACCAGGCATCAACATGGCTCCCCTCAGCATACGGACATTCGCTCTGTGAAGCCTGCAGCGCTGCCACCGACAGCTTCAGGAAGGATGCCAACAGCCAATCAGAGGCCGCAGTCTGTGCCCAGCGCATGGGGGTTAGCCAATCAGCGGCCTCCAAACTTCCGTCATTGTGTCCAACTGTACTTGCGCTCTGCCGCCTCCCACAAAGTAAATGAAAGAGTCTATAAAGTCATAACTGTCAACAAAGATACACACTTTAATAGTGTGAACATTTGCCACCCTGCATGACACAGAGAAATATATAGAATGCACACACACAGTAACAGAACTAATTTGTTCGCAAGTGAAAAGAAGCAAAAACCACATAGTTATTCTTTAACTTTTCTATAACTATAACTCTTCCGCCAGTGTGAATTAAATACAACATCCTGTGAGTCATTATAATGACACACCGTGCCAAAAATAATAACTTGATATCCCTATTTCACTCATCATTTTGTGAAATATTCTTGTTATTTTGAATTACTAAGTAGTTTTATTTGGTTATACTTGGTCATATTTTTTTAATATTATTTTACTAATTGCAATACTTTAATTTAGTATTTAAGTATATTTTGAGATAAAATGTCTTTCTCTTGAGATATCATCATTGTATTAACACAAGTCATTATTTTTGAGATACTAAATAATTATTTTGAAATACTTGTTTTGATATTTTGATATAAGGGTTTGTCATTATAATAAACACATTTGCATTTTTTATTATGTAAAGGCTAAGTTTTCACCTTGTTTTTTATTTGACTGGTGGAAATTACTTCAGTTACAGAGATCTCAGACATGTCTGGGACTGGGACCATAAACAAAATAAACACTGTTGTCCGTACCGTGTGTAGCTGCTGCCGTCGAGTCTCTGCACTGGGGCTCGGAAGTTTTCAGTGTATTGCTGCCAGAACAACATCGTGTCTGTCCCACAAACAGCTGTTGTTTCACTCCAAATAAACACTCAGCCCGGTGCCGAGGAGGTCCAGACAGCAGCTCATGTATGTCTCATGTCCTCGTTGAATAATCTGCTCCTCAGAAGTCTGTTGCATGCATGCATCAGGTTTATTGTCTAGTCAATAATTATCCCCCGGTCGGACCCTGGCCGTCGGTTAAGTCTCTGGGTGGCAACGTTTTTTTTTCCGGGCAGGGTACAAGCGCTATTTTGGCCCATCTGAGGGAAGACCCGCCTTAAGATTTAATAACTGTCCCTCTGTTGGTCAATTCAGGACATGGACATCACACAGCATTCAGACACAGTCAAAACAAAGTTGGCCAACAATCTACCTGCTGAGTGACTAATTTCAGTAACGCATTATAACATAGATCATATTATTGGATTGTTATTACTGTTAATTTAATAACTAACATGTTTTGTTGTTGAAGCTGATCTAAGTGGAGGTAATAGCTTACTTTAAATATTGGGTAGTGCATTTTTATTTTGCAATGCAGCCGCTTTCTGAAGCTTGCTTGCCACCTTCGCACACATCATCAAATATGTATTTATCTATTTATTCTTGATAAAGCCAAAACCTTACATTGTTCTCTAGTTACTAAGGCTACTAGCTGCATTCTGGTTTTTATGTTAATATGTTTGAATGTCTCCTGTTTGCATGTTGTATGTGTTTACACTTTGTAATAGCAAATAATGCACAAGCAAGCCAGACACATTTCTGCCTTTTGCATTCAACCGGGTAAATATTTAAATATTTTCCATTATATTGTTTTATTTCTTCCTGTAATATACTGAAGTAAAGATATAAAGTCAAATAAAAGCACATTTTCAAAGTAGAAATATCGTTAAACTGTATTTAGGGAACATTTTTAGCACATTCACTGCATGTCCTTGGCACTTACTGCAGGCTGTTTCTGTATCAGAGATCCTCATTAGCTGCTCCTAAATGTACAGCCCAGAGCACACATGAAATTCAGCACTTCTCAAATAGCTATGTTGCATAAGTCATGTGTGTTGCGTTTTACACCATGTCTACTTTATTACCCGTTTTGCACATCCTGCAGAATTTGAAAAGATGGGCATTTTCACCTATTTTTGGAATTGTATAGACCAAATGATTCAGAATTCATTAAAATGAACCACTTGTGATCCCTCATCACATATTACAGTTTCATTTGAAGGATTTTTAGATGCCCTAAGAGGAATAGTATTCAGAAGACCTCATACAAAATAATGCACAATTCCATCCAAGATATTTATTTTCTTTCAAAGATATCCCTTTTATCATCAGCTTTGATGTTAAAGAACACTTATTCCAAAAAGGGCAGAGGCATTGTTGCAGTTTTGAGCGTTTCTGGAGTAACTAATGATACATGTTTTACATTTTAGGATCTCTTAATTTAAAGGTACAATTTGGGGATGGTTTACCACCACTGATGCTGGGTTAGTAAGACAAAGAAGAATAGTTTATATAATAATAGTTTTCAGTCTTTAGTGTTGCGAACAGTCAACATGGTTGGTAAATCCCTTCTGCTGTAAACATTTCTATCCACCTGTTATCCCAGGACTTTTTTCCACTGCAAAAAAACACAAAAAAAGAGATAAGCTTATCATGATCTGTACAAGTTCTTTATTGTAATGTAAGCACAGCTTTGTAAATGTACGGAGGAAACACAACAGTGAAAACTAGAATGTTACAAGAAGAGGGAAAGAAAGACACAATGAAGAGGGGGAGAGAAAAGGGTGACATGACAATTCTTTTTTCAGAGCTGTAAATAATACATTTCTACAGATTTCTCAGCAGAGAAAAAATAAGTGTGAGTTCGAAAGAGAGATACTACGGGTAGAGCAACAAAGAGAAAAAAAAACCCGGTGGGCACAGGTGCGCGTGTGCACTCCCCGGGTACATTTCTAAATGACAGTTAATGGATATTTAATTTGAATATCATATATAGATACATATCCACTATGTGATAATAAGCCATGTCCTGTCATACTTCATGTAGTAAGCACCACGCACCCGTTTCCCCCCCCCCCCATGTCGCCCAGAAGTGGACCGATCCAAGATGAGCTGGGAGAAATGGAGACCATGAATTCTTCTGAAAGGGGCGGACATTGTTCACATTAATTTAAAACATTTCTGACTGTCGACAGACCTTCAATAAAACCTTTTTAAATGTAGTCTCATGCATAGCCAAGCACATTACACCTTCTACACTTTGGAATCTGTTCTGTAGTCGCTGTGAGCAGGCCGTCCCGCTGTGACTCGCGTTAGTGCTGTGTGCGGTTGTTTGGTCGTACCTTTTAGGCTAAGCAGCACCTTTTTGAAAAAAGAGAAAGTGTGTGTTTATGTGAAAACTCCGGACATTAAAAACCGCTGCAGTAAAACCTCATTGCGTAAAATAAATCAAAAAATATGACAATGTAAATTTACATTCCTGTCTACCTGGCCCCGCTGTTCAAGAAAGACACAAGACGGCGCCTTCGTCTCAGGCCAGCTCTATGAACCACACCCCCCCCCCTTTAAAATGAGACGCACCACTTCCTGTTGACATTGACGTGTTATTCAGAGGGGACGCTGTGGTGCTCAGGATAGAGGACGGACATTTAGTATCTTGATCCTTTGAGAGATTAGTGACAAACCTGGGTGTGACTGAATGTGTATTATCTGTTTGTGTGAGGGTTCAGTTCAGTCTGAGATCAGGGAGCGTCCTCAGCGATGGTTGGGAGAACAACAACACTCCTCTTCTGCACCACAACTCCCATCTGGTAGAGGGAGAGGAAATGTATGTGGACTGTGTATACCTGTGTGTGTACCTCTGTGTGTGTGTGTCACTTTGCAAGCGTACGTGTGGATGTATGCGGTTGGCTCCTGTGAAATCTGTTAGGATGTGTGTTTGTTCTCGGCCTGTGTGGGTGTGAGCTCGTGAACTGATGTTTGTGTTTGGTGGGCAGAGCTGCAGTTCTGTGGTTGCCCTGTGGGAGGGCGGCGGGTCTCCTATAGGCAGTCAGACGGGGGCTCACCACCACTGGAGCCGGACTGTGCGCGCTTGATATACAGATTCAACAGCTTCAGCTGCAGACAGAAGAACAGAGGAGGACAAATATGTAAATGTGGTCAACCTCTAGGGTCAAACAACGTGCATTACTGATGGGAAAAACAAGCCATTTCTATTCCATTTAAAAAAAACTAGAGACATTTTTGCAATGGGATAACAATAGCAATGAATTGGACCACACACATCTTCGAACACAAGCCTTAATTTAACTACAAATGTGTAAAGACGTCAAATTGAGCCAGGGGCGAATCATTTGGCCAGCCCCATCTTTACTCACAGCCTTTTTGTCTATGATCTCAACTACACATCTGTCAAGTGTCCTGTTTATGTTCTGCACTGTTGAGACGCTATGCCTTTGCACCCACATACCAACAGAAAAATAAACTCTGGGGTGTTTCGTTTGTGGTTTGTCTTGAATTGTAATGCTCTACTGCAGTTTCATTTCTTTCAGTAAGTAAGAAACATAAAAAAGAAAGAGATTGGGAAGACTGAAAGAAAATATGCTACATCATTCTGTGTTATTTCTATGTAAATATTTCAACAATAAAATAATAAAAGAAAATATATTAAATACGACAAAAAGACCACACTTGTACCCCTCTGGATCATGAAAAAGGAGCATTCTCAATAAGCCAGATTTCAACCAAAGACAGAAAGAGCTTGGTAGCATGGATGACAACATACATTTTGTCAGTTTACAAGTTGTGCTTAGTCCATGTCTAATATGCTTCGAGGTCAGGTTACCTTGCTGCCGGAGAGCTGGTTGAGGTGTGGTTTTAGGTCCTCTCCGATCACTGCGTAAATGGCAACCAAGCAGAACACACAGGCTTTCCTTACACTGCTCTCAGAGTTGTCGTAACCCTGTAAAACCAGATAAAAATAGATCAAAAACCTGCAGAAAATGTGGTTCAAAATAAAGGATGCAGAGAAAGAATTCATGAATGAATGTGTGTGAGAAAAAGAGGTACATTAGTTAACAAACGATTGAAATAAATAAGAGAATAGCCCCTTAAGTCCAAGCTATAACAAGTATCTAGAGTTTTTTTAAATAGTAACACTCTACAGTAAAAGATGGAAATAACACTTCCTCTTACTTTTAATAATAATAAACCCAGCAGACTTCAAATAGTGCTTGATTGTGATTTTCAGCATTATATCTATTGGCGTGTTTAAAACAAATCATCTCTGTAGGCGTGTTACCTGTATGAGTCCTGGCACTATCTCTGGCAGCAGGCTCATCAGGCCCTCGCGGGGAACCCTCTCCACCACCTTGGTCTGCATCTTGATGGCAGCCAGGTTGATGGGGTAGTCAGCTGACTGGATGATGGGACACAACACTTTGACACACTGGTCTGGACTGATGGACAACGCCAACATGGCAGCCGTCTCCTCTGCTGCTCGCACCACCTGCAGGAAGATACACAAACTTGATCAGATGCTGTGAAACAAGAAATATTGTAGCAGATGTGTGCACGTTTTTAATCCTTCTCATCACTTTCATCATCCATATATTAACTAAAAAACAACCTATACCATCTCTTTAAGCTCACACAAGTCTTCAAAATACATTTGTTTTCAAGTGAACTAATTAAAATGGTTCCCATACCTTCTCAAGCATCACATTTAAGAACTTTGAAGCACAAGTTGTTTAAATTCAAGATAGCATACTTTGAGACGTGATCATGGTTAATTACTGTTACGAGCAGAATTTCAAAATTACAACTAGCAGGCTTTCTTGCTGCTCTCTTGCAATGAGACACACATCTGAACGTAGAATATTCACTATTGTTAAGGGAAAAGGATATCAAAAGGACTTCTATTCTTTCAAAAACATAAATTCAAGAACTTTCAATGACCCATGACTATTTTTACTACTTTCACAGCCTTAGTTTTTCCCTCATATTTACAAACTTCCAAGGGCTTCAAGGACCGTATGAACTATCATGTGTGTGTTATCTCGTACCTCCTTGTGGGGGTCTTTGTGAGCCTCCAGGGCCTTCATGATGGTGAGCTCTGCATAGTTTTTAAACCTCCAGGGCTGCTTCCCCAGAATCTCTCTCAGCACCCGCAGAGCCAGCGTTCGGATCACATGCTGGGGGGAGAATCAGA